CCAAGGTGTTGGAGGCACAATGAACTGTGGTGAGTGAGTGAGTGAGTGAGTTTTAGTTTTACGCCGCTTTTAACAATATTCCAACACTATCACTGCGGGGGACACCAGAAAAGGGCTTCACACATTGTCCCCCATGTGGGGACAGCGTCTCCGAGACATCATGGGAAGCCGACATAAACAAGCAAATAAGCCTCTGATGGCTACATATCACCATGACAACATGAATACGCCATGAACGAGTTCTACAGAAACGATGTGGACGTCACTGATAACACAATGCTATTCCAGCAAAATCACGGCGGGGGACACCAGAAATGGGCTTCACATATTATACCCATGTGAGGAATCGAACCCTGGTCTTCGGCGTGACGTGCGAACTCTCTAATCACTAGGCTACCCCACCGCCGCCATGACCTGTATGTGCTTGTTCAATTTCAGATCAATATTTTATATAACATGAAGACAAACAAAGACGGCATAATATCCAATTAATGAATATTTAATAACTAACAACTCTCAAAGCCTGATAATGACCAGTCTCTATTTTGGTAAAACGCTTAATAATAATGATAATGAAAATGGATCATTAAACACCAGGTGTTTGCGAAAAAGGTCACCACCCCCTGCCCTGCTTGGAGTACCTGCACTTACACAATAGTTTCATTTCAACCTTAGGCCTGTTTGAATTTCCGTTTCGTCTATTTTAGTTGCAATTTAGTTGGGTATAATTCACAATTCTCATGTGTCTTATGATTTAGCGAGAATATTTACCGTTCTACACAATATTAACATAGTGAGTGAGTTGGTTTCAAATATCCGTTGAACTCTTTTTATGTTGGATTTGGGGACTAAAGCACGGAATGCTCAGGTTTTAACTTTTACCACATTGTTGAGTGAGTGAGTATGTTATTACGCTGCTTTTACCAATATTCCAGAAATATCACGGCGGGGGACTTCGAAAATTGGCTTCATTCATTGTACCCATGTGGGGATTCGAACCCGGGTCTTCGGCGTGACGAGCCAACGCTTTAACCATTAGGCTAGCCCACCGCCCCAGAATTGGCCCGTGGCCTTGAATGCGAAAGGAATACAATCCTGACTGGCAGAGGTTATGAAAAGAAAGATATGATTAATAGCCGTTATCTGAATGTCTTTGACATCAAATAGTTCAACGAGAGTCGATACAATTCGAAATATTTACATCGACAATCCTCGAAGATTTAAATTAATATCCACTCGTGGTGGCATATTTAGATTTCAAAAGACAAAAAGGTGAGAATACCTTTCATATTTATATTAGTGAAAGATTTCACATTTTACTATGCTCATCATCTGTCATCAGAACCATGTCCACCGTTTCTGCATAAAACTCTTTACTATTTTCCAAAGTACTTACAGAAAGTATTGCGTGTATGGACATACATATGTGCGTTTGTGCGTGTTTATTATACGCTTTAATGTTGTACTGAGGCACTTAATGACTCACGTGACGACGAAGCAGTTCCGTGACAATTGCATGATAACTCTCATCAAGTACCTCACATCAGTTCCGAGGTGAGTAGTCAAGTTCCATTAGTATTAATATACTATGTGCACATCTTTCTACTTACAGAAAAGACTCAACTCAGGGATAAACGACGCTAAACTAGACTCACTCACTCTTCAGATATGGAAGGGTATTTTCCCAAAATGATTGGTACCAATTTCGTAAAGACATTGGTTACATTCTGTGAGAAGACTCATTGAAGAATACTGCAATGACATATTACATACCGTTGGCATTTGAACAAGAAAGAAGTACCATAATAAAATTGTTAGAATATAATGTGAAATTGGCTACTAATTACAATAAATTTAACATTGTAAAAATAACACACCATCAGATAATGTCAACTTGGTGTCCTAAATTGACATCATCTTATCATTCAAATGTTCAAAATACTAGTTTATCTAGTCAGATTAAAAAACATATTTCTTAGCGTCAACACAAATATGGTAATTTTGTCATATGTCTGATACAAATTGTCAGATACAAATGCAATTACAAACTGGATTTGATCAAAGATAAGAAACATTACATGGGCTAAAACAGACGCTGAAACATTCCAAACTTTCGATCCGATCACAATCCGTTTGAAATAAATCACCGTTTCCATTTTGTTTCATGCTTAGCCATCATCAAACATAAGCGCTTCCCTGTCTTTTCCCGGCATTGTGTTCATTGTTAGACGATTGCTATTTTCTCGAAACACGTTATAAAGTTACACGAAGGTCTGTGTTTGTAATGGTATATTGCATTTGTAAACAGTTTTTTCATTAGCAGACATGTCACATATTCACAATCAGTGGTCGTAAATTCTTTCGGTTCACGTATAAGCAAGAAAGGACCAGACGCTCTTAAAGTTCGAAGCCAATTACTCCAATTAGATCACGACAAGGTCCCCACCAGTGCTTTTAGGAACCATCGCTCTTCCTGTATATTTTGACAAGGGCAGGGCCTGAAATCCAACACTTAGACACTACTCGACAGGTAATATCGTTAACATTCACAAATCTAATTGTCCGCAAGCAGAATGGGGGCTGTACTCTCAAGAGGACCAGCGTCTTTTAACGCTGGGCCACATCCCTTCGTCATAAAGTTAAACAACTTGCGTTCCCAGTCAATTGATATTTTTTAACCAAGGGTTCCTTTTTAAACATTTTAAGTTTGTTTAAACATATTTTTTACCTTTACATCAGTGTTCATAGGAATATCTGTCAACGTTTAATCTAGGAAGATGAAAGGGTAATGACGGGATGCTGGAGACATTTGTTCGTAAAATGACACATACATTATACTTTACTTTAACAATATTGCCACTTAAGAGTTTTATAACGCAATCCACCAATAAATATCAATAAAAGGAGTAAGTCTTCATTAGCTGTCGGATAAAAAGGACATAGAATATGATTAGTGGGAAAAGACAAATTTGTCATTTTGAAAACAGCTAGTTTGCATAGAGCCTCTCTAAACTGAAATCCGGTCACTATGCTTTCACGATACATGTTCATTTTTAGTGTTATTAAAGCGAAACGCTTTCATGAGCCTTTTGAAAGTATCCAATTTACGAATAGGGCTCATCAATCATATTATCTGGTTTTCCTAACATCAGACGGCCAATGCAATCACTTATACAGCAGAACTTATTTTGTCATTGTTAATGCTTTTGACATGTTCATTGTGTGCTGCCAAATTGTTGATTTTCTATCATTATTTTCGTTCTCTATATAAGGCTAAGACGTGCGATAACTTGCTGATTATAAATTTAGAATACATAACTAAGATATAAATACTTATGTCATAGATCTATAATTATTTCTTGATAAGAGTCTCTTCAGAGTTAAATCACTGTAAGAACATTCCTTCTCACCAATGTTGAACCGCTTATAAAGGTCTTTTAATCAGTTCGTACCTAACGCCCGCCGCGATTCCTTAGATTAGAATATGTTCGATAAGTCCACTCCTTGATGTAAAAAGTACGGTTGAAATGTTCATTACCAGGGTACTTAATGCTAATTTCATGGATGCACACCCAGAAGTTCATGATCCTTGCCTGTACGTTACATATGCTGTAATCAATGCCCGCGGTGCCATGCTTTCGAAGGCTCTAACCAATATTCTTCCACTCCATTGCCCCAATATTGACCATGCCGATGTCACGGGAGACCTAAATTTACCAGACTCTCTGTAAACCATGCCAAGTGCTTCAGAATGAGACAGCTGGCCGCTGTGACCTGCACCACGAGATATTATTGTATAGGAGGAACACGCCGGAATCGACCAAAGATGCCACATCAGCCTCTCTTTGCCCTCAAATGCTTCTCTCCTTATTTCTGCTGAAGAACTTGCAAATCACATTTCAAAAAATGGTTTTATTAAAAAGTACGTTATCGACCACAACAGATCAATGTCCCGTTCCGGACTCTATGATTAGCTCGGCATTTGTCATTCTTCAAAACAGATATTAAGCATGCCTTCTTTATTTGGCTGTGACACATGATGAAACCCACTGTCACTGACAAGGCTTTGTGGACTGAGAATATTTACTGTCAAGGCAAGCTGTTTGATATACGATGCCACGAGGACAGGTCAATGGTCGGAGTCCGTTATTGTTGGGAGATAATGACTATTGAGTTCTTGACCCGATTCTACATGTGTTTGGGTGTCCGTATTTACTGCTGGCTATCAGCGCTGGAAGCTCAGCAACTGGGGCCTAGTTCCACGAGACCAATTACACACAGCAGAAATTTGATTAGCCATCAGTTATGACTTAAGTACCGCCGTAAGATCAACGGATGTTCAAGGACGTACAATATGTAAGAATGTATTTTGTTCCTGACTAAACCAAGGATCCTATTGCAAATGTAGTAATTCAATATGCATTGATTTCATTTCCAGTTAATCGGGCGATGTAACTGATCATGTTGATCACCATCCGCTGTTTTATGTAATCGCGAAGATTAATATAGCTATTTCATCTTATGCTTTATTAGATATAGATATTGCTATTCGAGTTAACGTAGGATCCCGGTATAATACATTGACGTAATGATATACATCAAGCGCTGGGACGATGGAATAGACTGTTATGTGGAGGAAGATATTAAGCAGTCGAGGCATGTGTAAAGGTTGTCAGAGAGGCCGAGACATGTGTTCCCCCGGTGTTTGGTTAAGTCAGGGAGCAACAGAGACATGGAACAATTGATTTTCTTCGAAAGGAATGCCATATACACGTTTAGTAAGACCAGCAACGATAGAGTTAAAACACTACACCGCCTTGTCGGTATGAAATGAACACGTGTACATTTCAAGCACAGCGAAATTGACTCGTGTCAATTAATCATATATAACGAAGCCATAATCACCAGGTTTCTATTGTGATTGATGTCTCGGAATGAAACGTGTGAGAGTTAAGCTTGCAATGAGGTAGTAAAAGCTAAGAATAACAGTGATGGCTTACCTGAAATGAATGCAGAGAGAAAACACCGACAACAGGAGGTCCATTATCGTTGATGAAATCAATTGGGATGTATCTGGAGTCCGTCTACGCCTGTGTTACAATTGTGCTGTGTTGGGGCAATGCTTGGCTACTAGACTTGTTCTTCCCAGCTGGGCAAGCGTTGGTGCAACTGACAGGTGGCTATGGTTGTATATAACAGTCACTCGGCTATGGGGAGCACTGATTCAGGCGGCGTGACTCGTACTCTTTTATTGTTGTTAGCTTGTCAATAACATCGACGGTTGATTCCGTTGACTTGGTGAGGGTAATTGCCAAAGAAGGCCTTGAGGCAAGTCTTTGGTTCCAGAATAGGAAGGAACCATGAGGAGACTAGAAGCATGTAGAACGCGGCACGTGCTTAAATACAACATGGATCCTCATTGGTTCCTAGTCTGTAGCTGTGACCACGTGACGCGGAAGTGGAGCTCTCTGACATCAATCACGTGTGTTGGCACTTTCCCATCAATCTTGCCTCTCCGATCAACCAATTGTCAACACAGAACTGCAAAGGGAAGCAATGCAAGCTCATGACTTGGGCGAGCTCAAAGTCGGAATCCTACAGGGGAGAACGCAACCGATTGACTGCTTTTGAAAAGCTCTGCCCGTCCCGACAAATCAAGATATTTGATCAAAGTTCCAATTAATTTGAAGAGGTTCACCATGAGGAATATTAAAAGTTTGAGGTAAATTTGATTTATGGCTAAACAGTATTGCCAAACGAAGATTCGAATAGTAAGGGTAATCTTTTTTGCTCTAGAGATTTTTTCTTTTACCAAATTAATTATTCCATATTTTATTCCATTGGTAGTTTTCTTCCTAGGGTACACTTCTTAAATGCTTCGACCCGTAGAAAACAGCGATCAATTGATGGTACCAAGCCTTTTTGTGGGCATCGTGATAAAACACGGGCTTACTGGTGCTAAAGAAATAGTGCGTAAGCCAAGACTCGGCTTCTTTCTTGAAAAAAACGAGTTAATTTTGTAATTATTGGAATTACTAATCTGCGTTTTGCCTCATGTTCAATACAAATACTGGTAATGATACGTGAAGTTATGGAAAATTAGATGTATTGATTTAATGAAAACTATTGATAAAGGTGGCCATGGGATAAATAGGTGCCAGTAGGAGGATGGAGAAATGTGAAGCGAGACTGAAGATGAATCTGGAAAACCTAAAAGAAAACTTTCATTACCTTCGATACCAAATTGCAGGATGGAGAAGCAAAAACGGGCGATTATGTAATAGAAGTATGACAATAATATAATGGTTTGGCATAAAAAGCCTAATTTAGGAGAGAGTAATATGGAAATGTATTTTATACAAATTGAATGTTGACAGGTTTCCGTGGCCTTTTTGCCTAAATTTGAAGTGGATTGGGAACTACATTATCTCATATTTCCAGTTGAGACAACATAAATGTTTAAGAAACAAATTTAGTATTGACCGTATATGAATATACTCGGGTTGTTTTCTTTAATTTTAGAGGATCGTTTCTCATGAATATGTGGATCATTTTTCATGAAAAGGGTACATTTTAGCAAATGTACGAGACTGTTTATTTTAATTGCTATTAAGAAGATGCTTTTTAGTGTGCCTTATTGTGAAACTGGAAACTGTCTTTTAAGATTCAGAGATTTCTATACAGACATACTGCTGTGACGTTCATGGTCTCTTCAACTATATCGATTTGAGCCTGAGGTTGAATAACATATCTTCGCTTTTCATGAAAATCTTTACATTTAAACATGATGCAAATTAAATGTTAATTCTTTCGAGACTCTTATACGACTTGTTAAAAACATTAATTCATTCTGTTTATGTTACTATTACGACACTAATTCAACGCTAATCGCATTTGTGAGTTCTTTTCATAGAATCAGTATCAAATTATTATGTTTTTGAATTGAGAAGCAAATCAGTAGAACTGACTTTTGATCCAGTCCTTTCGAAACCAACATCAAAACTTTCTCCATCCCACTTATATATTTTTCAAAATATACAGAAAAAGGTGAAAAAATAAAGCAATTTGAAAATTGTTTCGATGAAATGCATTTTGGCAAAACAGGAAATGTATTCACCATGAAATTAGATTTGCTTCTATGTTTCCCTTGGTGGATTGGGAAATATTTCCAAAGGGACTGACACTGGTATCGGATTTTACTGCTCATAGAGACAGAAATCCCTTCGCCGTTGGCAAAATCCATTGCTGATTCAATGCCCCTTTAATGAACAGCACTCTTCGAACCTGATAATCTGGCAGCGAAGCTGTTTGGTATAGAATATGTCCCGAATACATCTTTGTTGGTTTAATCCTATAACAGAATGCTAATGCCCTGATATTTGATCAAACACTTATGACGCTGGACCTTTAAGCAAAACCACCTCCTGGCATCTCGGCAGCGGGTTTGTGTGTGGTTGTAATTAGTGTGGTGATCTAGCATTGTACGTTATTTACAGGCTTGATTTCGTCCGTTACTGGTAGTTGTAGAGTTGCAGTCATAAACATGTCAAATGTATTGAACATTAGTGACAGACAGTAACAACAGGAGTCCTTGATGACGTTGTCAGACAGCGTGAACTACCAACACTATGGTACGGTACTCTGCCGCGAACACTTGATACTACCCTTGCGTTTTCCCTAACTCGCAATTACTGTCAGAAGGAAGGATATAAATGAAATTGTCGATGAGTGCAGAGATGTCCTCCGTAGTGTTCTGCTTCACGCGGGCATGTGGCACGAGTTTAATACTGATCTACACATAGTACATCTTTACCTCATACTCGCACTTTTACATAGATAATTCCACCCGTGGTCTGCAATTGAACCTATTAAAACGCATTTCTTTGGATAAATATATTCATTATTATTCAAATTTGATCATGTTCTACAATTTAAAGTATGCTTGATTTCTTATTAGTGATCATCATTTGTTATGTTTGTGTGTGTGTGTGTGTGTGTGTGTGTGTGTGTGTGTGTGTTATAATAACCATAATCATATATTAGTCCACTGTACGATTCCAACAATATCATTGGATGCGTTTATGATTAACTATCAAATAGTGATGGTACCAGGTGGTTGCGATAAGGTGAGCGTTTCCTGCCCCATAGTGACACGCTTTACAAACACACGTACAGGCAAGGCAATTGTTCGCCTGAAAACAACACAGCACAAATGCCACACGACGTTTCGCTGACGTTTTTCAAGCTGTTTACAATGTAGAAATTGATTTCTATATAAAATGCTATTTAGACAGGAAAACAGCTATACATTCCATAGCAACAACTTAGAGCATGGATACACCGGCTGGTCATTGCTGGGAACAGCGAATAGATGGTATATGGTTGGGAGTATTACTGGGTACTGAGTAACTACCAGTCTCAGGTACATAACTCACAAAGTTAGGACAGTCGGAGTAAAAGTTTCTGGTGCACTATACGTTCATCGCGGTGCTGTTGACCACTCGAGTTAGTGCCAGATTCTCCAGAGTACAGAAATGTTTGTATTTCATATTACGAAATGTATCATGAGTATACACATACGCATACACGAACGAATAGATTTCATGAGCTGGATTGGTTTGATGGCTCAGTAAACTATATTTCAGTTAGATCATGATGTACGGCTTTGTGTTATTGTTTCACAATTGTCCTGACAAACCATGACTGACTATCAAAACCAAATTTGGATTCGAACCAACTAATGCGGATCGTGGGATAAACGACAATCGCTGATAGCGAAATATGAAATATGAATGACTAAAACTCGGTGTAAATTCATTACTTAATGGATCATTGATATAGACGTTCGTCGTATCAGCCTCAATTAGATGTTAAAAGTTATTTCCCTTGGGTGTTCTCAGAGTCGTATGAGTGTTGGTTTATCAACACTGTATTCCTCCTTTTGTTTCAGATTAAGTTGAAACGCTGTGATACCTGAACTAATACCCACTGCGATGTTAAATCGAACTGAGTTTAATTATGTCTGAGCTGACATGTCGTATATGCCATCCTATTTTCTGTTTACCTATGACCGATGATTTTTCAGAATTATAGAAAATATGAAGCAATCCCAAAGATCATTTGTAGCATCTTGATAGGAATGACCCATGATTGACCTGACAGCTGGGTGAGAAACCCTCCTACCTATGCTTCCTCGGGTTAAATCTGACGTGATGTTGTGTGCTGTTGCTGTCGACGTATATGCGGACGCCCAGTGGAGCACTGACAGGGGCTAAATTTACCTTAGCAATTGTTCATGTATAACGTTAACCCCATGGGCACAAAGTATCTGTTTAAATGTCACAATGTCTTCAGACTGTATCCCAGTAAAATGTGCTCGATCCAAGGGATTCGGGTTCTATAGTTGGCAAGTGTATCGATTTCATGATTTCATAACAAAACATAAAACACATGAAAGCGAGCACGGATGGTTTGATGCCTTGAAGCTACATGTGCAGGATCCGCTGTTTGTTCGAATCCCAAATGTATCTGATTAGGAACAAGGTTTTTTCAACAGCATACTTCTGCTCGAGGGTTTCACCAATGTGCTGTGTGGTCCTGTGCTTAGAGCTCATGTCAAAAAAACAGTTGAAGTTAAACAACGTTGAGAGCGGAGAGTTCTTGGGTAAGTGACCGTGCTTGGCAGCTTGAGTCCTGAGAGTTTCTAGGACTTCAGTCCTGCCCTACAACGAAACATGTGTGACACATGTGGTCTCACCTTATGAAAGTGAGTTTGTTCAAAATTGCCTCTGTTCACCAATGGGTACCCGGTGGTATAGTTCATATGACTATAACCTCCTAGCGCCTCACAGGCAGCTTGGGTTTTCCGGGTAATAATGTGTTAGCGCTTTGAGCATGCACAAGTGTATGGAAACAGGCACTCTATAAATGGCCATTATTATTAGACCTCTCGGAAAAGGCGTCACTTTGAACTTTTCTCTAACACCTAGTGTACAAGCCGTTATACAAATGTCAAGTCGTTATCAAATCCTTTTCACACACTCATACACATCTACAGTGGTTGTCACTCAGTGTTAATATTTTAATATCAATCTAATATAAATCATTATAACCGTCCACGTTTACTAGCCATACCGGGATAGAAGACCATCATGGGCGTTGGTCATGTTGGCGATTGCAAGATTTGCATTCTCCCTCTTCCCTTGCAAGGTGCAATTACTGTCAATATAATGATTAATGTAACAGGAACTGAGAAAGCAAACCATTGTTATTCACACAATGTTCCTGCATTGATATTATGTTTGTATGCAATGAAATGTTAGTCCGTTGCCAGTATTCCCTTTGCGCATTGCTTGGTAAAAAGTTACTTCAATGTTGGATGATT